GCCGGAGATACCGGCGAGTTTTATCAAGATTCATGTCAGAGCCACGCTTGAACACCGCTCCCGTGTTATATTTATCGCGCGCTCGCGATATTTTTAGCCCGGTCAAAACGCAATTCGCTGAGGAGGCTGTCAGCTGTTAGCGTCGCCTCGCGCCGAGAGGGTGCTCGAGAAATTCGACACCACCCGGCCGGGGCAAGCAACTCGCGCGCTAATGACGTCTGATGAAAATGGAACGTACTTGTACGCGGTACAAGAACCAATTTCGAATGCCGCACCCTTGGCGCTCTCTCTCTCTCTCTCTCTCTCTCTCTCTCTCTCAGCTGCGGGAAAAAATGCTGCTTGTAATCTCTTGCAGGATACTACAGAACAAATCTCAAGTACCGCGCTCTTGGCTTCCTCTCTCAGCTGTGGAGAGTGTCGCTTATCAAGTTTCGAGAAACAGTGAATCGTATACACGGAAATCTCGGGAGGAAATTTCTCGAATCCACACGCAGCATTTTCATTCATCCGCTCGTTGCCGAGAGAGCTCAGCTCTCAGACATGTTTGTTTCTTGCGATTCTTAACGGATCCAGAATCAATTATCGTCTCAGGCGCGAGGCGCGCTGGACGAAAGAAAGACTTCATCGAGGAGGGACGCGGTCTTTCCCAACGGCGGCCTTTCAGCAACAAATTAAGGATTTTAAGCCGAAAGTAATTAGTTCGGGCGGATGAGGTGTCACTTTATGGAAACGGGGAGACAGAGAGTCAGTCTTCATTGTTCTCGGCATTAATCCTCCGGGGACGTTTAGAAGTTTTCGACTCGCCATCTGCTGTCCACGCTAAAAGCCTTCCCGATACAAGTCCCGGAAGGAATGATTTCCATAATTTTAATCAAATCGAGCTGATAACGCATATATACTTGAAACGTTACTCACAGACCAAAAACCGACTATGCTAAATATATTTTGACAATAGAGGCGTAGCGAAATTACTCAACAGGGACTCGAGCAAATTATAAGTAGAAAAGAATCGAGCAAATTATAAGTAAAAAAAAAAAAAATCAAGAGCGATACAATTCTCGTGCATTAAAAAAAAACATCGTGATGATTGGTCGTTAATTAATAATGTATAAAGCGCAGCAAAGAAAGTCCTAAGAACGCGAAACGAGCTTTGCGTTCGGAAGTCGTTTACAAGTCGTCCAATTACGCCGAACCGCCCGTCGAACTCGAAACTCAAAAGGATTTAGCGGGCGCAATCTTTTAGCGCCGTTGCCGGAACGTGACTCGATAATCTTATTTAGCCTTTCACGAGGAAATGGATTATTCGATCGCTCGTGAAAACCTCCAGAGTTGGAGATCCTCTTTAGTTACTACAGAGGCGCAGTTAGTTAATTAAAAGGTAAAGAGAGGACGAAGCGGCGAGGGGGCGAAGGACGAGCGAGATGAGAGGACAACGATGGCGGTGGGTGAAGGAAGAAGGAGGAAGGGCGTTGCGAAGGGAAGAAGAAAGAGCGGGCACAGAGAGAGAGAAAAAGAGAGAGAGAGAGAGAGAGGGAAAGGAAATGATGAGAGGCATCGGGATTTGCAGCTCCATCAGAGAGAACAACCCTTTCTTGCTTCGTCAGGAATGCTCCGGGGTTGAACTTCCGATCGAGCAAACATTTAGGCCGCTTTAGCGACGAGACGGAGACGTGTAAAATCGCTCGTTCAACTTTTTGCCTGGTTTCGCCTCGCCCTTGCGTTTCTTCTCATCTCGCGAGTGTCGACGAGAGAGAGAGAGAGAGAGAGAGAGAGAGAGAGAGAGAGAGAGAGAGAAGAAAATAATTTTCGCCAGGCCAGGCGCGCCGCGAAATTTGATATGAAATGCCGGCGCGATTTACGAATTTCGCCGCAGCATTCGCGCATGCCGGCTATCTTTTGTGCGATACGATCGCCGTGTTAAAAGTTCGCACACGCGACTGAGAGTGATGATATTATGACCCGGCTGGAGATATTCAATTTTCGAGGCGAAGCTACACAATTCTGCAGCGCGAAAGGCCGCGCGCGCTAGGCCGCACTTCGCGAAGCGGGTAATCAAATCAGACGATCTCGCACAATCAAATCTCTCCTGCAAATCTCGGGCTCCGGAGGCAGGGAAGGGACCGGGGGAGAGAGCACGGGGGGGAGGGGGGAATACGGAAAGTAAGAAAATATAAATCAGCAGGGAGGATTTAATAATTCACCGAGGCGAACATCGCGCCCCTTTCCCGAAAGTACAATCGAACCGTTTAACCGTGAAACATTGTACGTTCTCCACCACCCCTCCCCCCCCGCGAAGACGAGTGTGCCGACGTCCGCTGCCACCCTCTGCCATCCCGTGGCCACTCTCAGCCATCTGCGAGATTATCTCGTTGTAACGAACAACTTTCCCCTGAGCGTTCCAAGCGGCAAATGTGCCGAGCGAAGTAGGAAACGTTTCCCCGCCGGGACGGCAGAAAGAAATTTTATCTCTCACGAGAGAAGCGTCGCGCGTGGAGAAGCTTCGTCTGAAAAATCATGCGATTTTCTCGATTCTCCCGATTACGAGCTCTCTCCTTTAAAACATCTCGCGATACCTCTCGTTTCACTTTGCGAGGCGTGTTACTTCGCTCGACCGAACACGACGGTCCCTCGTAACGCCGCGATATTTTTCCCGACGAAACAAGATAGGGCCAATCATCAATACGTCGTAATGCCCTTTTCGCCGCAGACTTTCGTTATGGAATTCCTAATGATGAGGGGGGCGAATGTTAGGAGCGGCTGTAATAACAGTCGCCGGCTGCTGGAGCTCCGTAGATAAGGCGAGGAAAAATATTCAGCGACGGAACTCTCGCGCGTACCGAGCGACGTCTGATGAAAGAAAAATAAAAAGAGGAGCCCTCTCGCGTGTATCACAGGCCCTCTCTCTCGCTAATCGCGTGATATCTCCATTAATACACCGCCACCCCCCGGTGAAACTCCCGGTGGAATATTCGCGATATTACTGGCGGGAGGCCGCGGAGAGATTTCGTTAGTCCCGAATCCAAGGGCGAAACGGTGGTGGATCTATCATCCTCGGAATCTATTAGGAACGATCAAGGAACATTGGTCGTGCTGAAAGGCTGCCGACTACGTCGGCCACATTTACATAATCGAATTTCAAGCGTTCCTTTCGCAAGGTCATTTAATTATCCGCTCGATGATGGCCTCCGGCTGAATTATGCCGGCTGAATGCAAGCGCCGTGACACGAAATCAATTCTTGTGGACATCGTTGCAATTTGCGAGATATATTACTGTATTTGCATAGACGGTCGTGAGTCGTTCTATACAAGAACGCCGACGAGCTGCCGAATTATGTGCTACGACACACACAATATTAATTTTCAGTTTCGTAATTCATACAAAATTACAGAAAAAAAACAAATGTTTGATCGTTCTCGACAGACTCCAAGAAATCGTACGCCTCAACTCAAATGCGCTCAAATGCGCGCGCCTTACGAGTGAGAATGCAAAAACGGCGAAAGGACGAACGCACGACGATCCGTTTCGTTAAAACCCTCTCTCATCGGCACACGCAATCCCCATCTACACGCCGAGTGGCCACTGTTTTAATCGAAACGTCGTCCACGCGAATCCACGGCGCTCGTTCGGCGCGCGTTTCGCGTGGCTCGCGAAATTTTGAATATTGCATGACAAGGAGAGGCAAAGGGTCGGCCGCTTTTTAGAATACCAAACGAACGGGGGCGTATTATCTCTATGCGAGAGCGGATAAGCCGGTTTCTAGATGCAGGATCGATCTGCATGCAGATGCACCCCTCATGAACGGCCGCACAAAGGAGGCAAACCAAAGTGGTCACCGGTTAACGTTCGGGCCACTCTGAATATTTCATACGCCGGCCGTGGCCGTGCGTAGATTGCTCGCGCGCAAATGCAACGCAACAACAAAGGTGAGGCAATGGCATTTTGACTGCGCTGCGCCGTGCACGCGTGTGTCTCCGCACGAGTGACCGATAGAAACTTTTTGTACCGCTGCCACCTGAGGGCTTTGACCAGCGTTTTAATGCTCGGCGAGTGCCAACAGATTGGAAACTTTCGCAATTTGCTTCGCGTGCAGCTGCTCGACGCGCGGTCTTCCTCTTTCTTGGCACATAAAATTTCCGAGTAATTTCATATTCTTCGCTCAACGAGCAGCTTCGATAGCTGTGCCCGCTGCTCTCTTCCGCTGTGAAATACAGAGGTGGAATTTTGCATTCGGCTCGATGGAAATATACTGATAAACATCCCGTAATGATGATGTCACGTGTCCTGCTACTTTTCGCGTCTCGATGATTCTTTCGCACAAGTTTAACATTATCAGAAATTCGATGAAAAATTCAACGAAGAGAAGAACTTCTCCCTTCGAGGTATTTTTCTATTTGACAATCTTTCCGGTCTGTTTTCCTGCCGCGAAAAGTAATACGGTTTTGTAAAAGAGAAAGAGATCGCGGTAACGCGTTCTCATTCTTTCAGTTTAGCGCGAGAGAGTAAAAGGTGGCGATAAATGCTATCTCTCGCTATTTGAGTCGCGATTGACTTTCTGAGATATCGATCGGCATGACAAAGAAACCTTAGTCGGCAAGCTGAGTGAAAAGCGGTACCCTCCGACGAGTTGCGAATCTATTTGACTTATCTTTTAAACGGGGCATCACGACGGGACGAAGAGGACGCCTCATCCATATCAATGACACGATTTCTATGAGGTAGTTACCTACGGAGAAGAATATCACGCTCGAAGCCGATCACGTACTCATCTTCTCCCCTATTGCCGTTTCCCCCGAAAACATCGTCTTTCCGCCCCGTTGCCCGTCGCCCAATTTCAATTACGGATGACGGATTCGCAAAATTCGCCAGCCGAAAAAGAAAATTGTTGGAGATAACGGAGAAATATATAACGTTACGATTAAATGATATAAATTATACACGTATGTATGTTTTTCCATACTTGAAATTTCTCGGGCAGCTACGGCAAATAATAACATAGACATTTGTTCATACCTTTATTACAAACGATCGCATATGCGAGCAACAATAATTAATTCTGCTTTAAAGGTGAGTGAAAAATATTCAACAATAACATTGGCTACTTGTTCCAAAGTTTATTTCCTCGATAGTTGTAAACAGATTTATGCACAGATTTGCAGGATTGCTTCAGTCAAAATACTCGAGAACAAGCACCAATACACGAACAATTACAATAGGCTCTGTTATTTAATATATTAGTATTACATGAAAATATCTTTTATCAAATTAATTCTTGTCAGTCATTAGATCATGTAATTCTATGTTAGTGTGTGAATAGTCGAACTGCATCGAGCAAATATATTACTGAGACAATAACTTCAATGACAATAATGACATTGATTTCTAGAAAACAATTAGCCGAGAGCATTTAGGATCAAATAATTGCGCAAATTCAGTTCGATTGCACATAAAACATATTAAAAATCAAACTGTACAAACTGTATATATATTGTGCATCGCAGAGAAAATATCGATCTTTTCCTTCCTTTACAATATCGCATAGAAGAGAGATTTGCTGTATATATAAAAAGTCGTATCTACAAAATCTGGAAGAAACGCTGCATCTAATCGAAATCGTCCGGCAAAAAACGAAAGAATGTAAAGCGTTTATAAACTATAAAAAGAACACTATTTACAACGAAAACATTCGATTAATATCTCTATACTGGGAAGACATGCCTGTTGTTGTGGCGTGGACAAGTAAATTATCATTCCTCTCGAACATAAAATTTCGACGGAAAATGTTTTGCATCGTCGAGAATATATAAGTATAAATACATATTAATTCTATATAATAAATATCTTTTCTTGTACTAGAGCCAGTTTGATAAGGCACTATAAATAATTGCGTCCCCATTTGTGAAGATGTGTAGAGATTAAACGTTATATAACAATTTTTCTATATTTAGTATTTGTAGTATTTAGAAATTTTGCATGAAAACACGCATTTTAATCAATCCATTTTAATCAAAATTTTTCACTGACAGTTTATCTAATGCAATCCTACAGTTCTTTTCTCTTCTTTCATAAATAGTTCCATTTATACGTATTATTTAGTGCAGTAAATATATATCTCGTAAAGTGATCTATTATTTGTGTCAATTGGAGCAATTATCCGGAAGCATTTGTTTTTTTTTCCTTTGGGACATCAATGTTTTAAAATAAAGCATAATATCAAATATTATTGCGTTATTGACAAGTTGCATGTATGACTTCTTTATTATTTATTTGACCGTTTTATCGATACTGTAATGCAGTAATGCAGTATTCATCCACAACGTGATGCAGTAATATTTAAATTTGTAAAAATCAAATTTCGAAATTCGAACTGAGAATCTTTTTACAACGGTACAATGTGACATGCATGAAATCCATTTCATACATATAAATATTGGTCTTTTTACATCCTGATATCATGGAACTTTGGCAAAATAATTAAAATCTGTGACAAAAACAGTAAAGGATATAATACGTTTCGTTAATATAAATCATCATTCACAGATTTGTGTTATATATATAGAATTCCTCTATAAAAAACAATATTAACCTACACGTAGGAACTATAAAGAGAATCGGTGTGTTATACTGTGTCACGGAAGAAACTCTCTATAGAGGCCTAATTTATATGCTTAATATTACGATATGATCGATTTAGATCATTACATTTTTATCTTTTGTGGCGGTTTATTATGGCGACGAATATCTTACCCTGCTTTAAATCTCGACTATTAACAATTAGTAACAGCTTGCCGTTAACATCGACGGAAGATTGTGACTGTAATCTACACAATTTAATTCCCATTATTCTCCCGATGTCTCAGTATAGCTTGCCATATCCTGATTTCAATTCCTCCCCTAGAATAGTGCGTATAACAGTGTTACCTGCACGTTTTGTCATTGTTAAACATTAGGAGCACAATTTTAGTTACCTCAAATTCAATCTGCGGAGATCGTCCCGTGTAATATGATCCAAAATATCTTCCAATACATATTCCTCATATAGGAACTAAAAACGATAAAAATGATTGATACGGTTCTCGTGGAAACGAATTTAACACGAAAAAGAACAGTGAATAAGCTTACTTACCCTGTCGATTGATGCCTCGTCTATCTGCAGATTTCGTAACCAATCGATGAGAGCTGTATCAGGATGTGTATTATTACTGTTACGTATGTCCGTAGTTGTTAACCTCTCCGGTTGTTGAGATACGTTTCCGGAATCGCACGTATCGTAACTGCTGTAAATTACATCTAAAATTTACTTTCATGATTATAACGGACACTGCACATAATTTTATGTTAATTTAAATTTTATTAACATTGAGGTAGTATATGTTGCAATAAATAAAACAACGGTGCTTCGTACCCTATTTCCTGTCTCCCTGCTTTCCTATTGATATTTTCGCACAGATGCGTTAATGTACCAACTTGAACTCTCTGTTCTTCCAGAACTTGTTGCAGCAATGATTGATACGACTTTTGGCTCTCTATCAATTCCTGAAGTAACCGCATATTTTCCATCTTTAGTGCTCCCATTTGATCCCTGTACTCCTTCCAGTACTTATTATCGATAGAATCGCCAGTTTTCGGAGATTTTACAGAGTTTACCGTCGATACACCCGACGTGGAGCCTTCCTCGGGGACTTGCCCACCAGGTTGCACCCGTTCTTGTCCCAATAAATTAGCTCCTAATTCTGGACATATAATTTCCAACATAAAACACACTTTTCAAAGTAACACTATTTCTCATGAGACTACGATTACGTTCACATGTATACGCAATTATAATTAATCGAAAGATACACGTACGTCTATTGGTTTTTAATGAAATCTACCTAAACCAGATGTGTGAACTCAAGCAGAGTGTGGTAACACTCTCACTGAACTGAACTCAACGTTCATAAGAGACCCCTTATTATTGGTGATGACTTTCCTTCGAGATATTTTTAGAGTTGACACGATAACGTACTCAATCCCCACGTGTGCTACACTTGAGAGTATCATGTATATACACGTTACACATCTGGTTCATGTATCGGATAATATATATGTGTAAGAAGTTAATCCGTTTAAGGGAACGATCTTTCTGAGCATACAACATGTAGTTTTTGCTCACATTCCTCGAATAAAAACTTACTCACTGGATACATGTGTTCGTATTTATTTCGTTGAGAAATGATACTCACCGGGTGATAACACTGTGATGGCAGCTTGAACAGCGTTCCTCACCAAGTTATCCAAGGCGAACATCCAATGTGGCTTTATGCTATGCATTCTGAGGACTTCGTTTACCGCTGTTTGAAACAAGTAAATAGCCAGGTGCAGGTGATTAATAGCTGTCGAATCGAAATCCAACTCCTCTTTTAGTGTTCGAATAGAAGTCACTATCACATCTTGATTTTGCTCCGCGATATAATCTCTTAAACCGCGCATAAGCAGCACTAGATGACTCTGATATTGGAATAAATAATAAAATATACATCGATACAATTGTGTAAGATGTAATAATGCAATGCCAAAACAACAATGCAAGTACCATTTGCAACACAGTTTGTCCTTCCGCTTGATGTATACCTCTCATCCAAACTTCACAGATTTTTGCTTCATCCTGATTGAGAACTCTCGTTAACGTCATACGCCTTTGACTATCCTTTTTCAATAAATAAAAACCTTCTTGTTCTTCCCCAGACTTTTGTCCCGGCTGTCCTGTTATCATAATTTCCAGTAAGTACATAATAAATAATTATTTTGGATAAAGTCTGAGATAAAGTTTGAGATAGACGAGTAATTTGATTATGACTATATGATATAACTTCTTTGACGCGGCATAATTGATTTGTGTTATAAATAATTCTTGATTATTTCTTTCATGAATATTGATGATAATATATTTACCTCCTAATTCCACTTCCGGCGATAACAGTCCACCAGACGAACTTCTCCGAGTTATCGAGGCTCCCGTTGCATCACTTTCACTAGTTTCTATTGATGGAGTATTGCCTATTGTACTAAGAGGACATAAAACACAATAAATTAGTCTTATGTGTTACATATTAAAGATAAAACGTTCAATTGTTCAATCGATACCGTTGAATACAAAAGGCACAAATATAAATCACATCGCTATTATTAAGGACGTAAAACACGATTCTGCGTGTTTTAAATATTTATTATATTTAATATATATAACGTGTATAAATCGAAACGATCTAAATGGTCCGCCCATTTTCGGGATATAAATTGTTATTTAAAGACGATTATATAGAAAGCTGTAATTTTGGGATTGGACGTTAGATGTTACTGGGCTATTTTACTTGTGTACATTATGCTCTAATTAACCGCGTTCATATACTTTATAGCATATATTTGTTATGTATAATAATTAATTAATTTACGTATAGCAAAGCAACTACGTCAGAATACATATACAGTACACAATGTATTAATGACAGATATCAACATGTTTCTGGAAATACCATGTAGCATGAAAACATTTAATAGCGTAAAATATATTGCAGATGTTTTTATACATACAAAATAAGCTATTTAAATAGATAGCTATTTAAATTAAGCATTGTACACATTTAATATTAATGGTATGTGGTTTATCATATATATGATCTTGTTTTACTATATTTCGTGTCTGCAAACTATCCAATATGTCCAATAAGTAAACTGCATCTTCAGTTATATTCCTTTTTTGCTGCATAAACAAATTACGAAGTTAAAACCATACCTGTTAAAAGAGAGGGTTGCAGTAGGCATGCTGATGGGAGACAATAGATGGGCCGGACTGCGTTCCCTCAATGGGCTTGACTTCGTCAACCCTCCACTAAATTTAACATTTTATAATTACAATTCGCAACATGCAATCATACAACAGAATACTTAGTACTCTTTTACTCTTAGAATAAAGTACTCTTTATATTCTTGCATTGTACTTGTCATGTAGTATTGTAAAGCATTGTTTATATCAAATAAAGCATAAAACATTTTTCTCACCACAGTCCATTATTTCCACAAAAATTTTAGTACAAACGATCGATGATCCAAACTAAATTTAGCAAAAATATTTTCACGTTCACGTTCATGGAAACGTTCATGGAATGATGAGAAGCATAAATTCTATTTTACCTTGTACCTTTTTGCTCATAACAGTGTCACATAAAAGCAATCGATTTCTACAAATGTCATTTCCTAGTTTCAATATGGATTTGATAATTACCCAGTAACAATAAAATATGAAATTGACAAATATAAAGCTTAATATAAATGGAATAAAGTGCATGAGAATGCAATATGATGAAACAAAGGCAAAGATATTACAGACTATTACAAGAATACTCATACAAAATGGTAGATCATATAAAAAATAAACATTTTATAATACCTATCGTCTGACTGAGATGTCTGCATAGGTGCAGCAGCAACTATGTGATTATTGTTCGTTTTGTCACATTTCCCCAAACGTTCTAATCTGTCTGCAGGAACTGATATACTTCTGCTGAAGTCTGGTGGTGCGGCCAACCTGCTGCTTTTCTTTTTCCTACAAGTAAACATTCTAAACATATACCTTTTAAAATTTATCAGAGAATAATACAGTACTTTAAGATTACGTACTCATTAAGAAATGGATCTTCCAACAGTTCTGCCGCAGTCGCTCTTATATCTGGATTTGGTTCAAAACAACGCAATATAAACGATTTTGCTCTCTCTGATAATTCTGATGGTATCTCAGGATGTATTTTATAATACCCCACCTGCAAAATTATATATTTATTTAAAGTACAAATTGGTAATTTAGAAATTAACACATGACATATATTTAATACTAATTGAATTTTGTATAAATTCAAATGGCGCGCACTTCCAGAATGTTCATTACCAACTTATTTAATTATTAGCGTATTTTTTACTAAGAGAATAAACTAATACTTTTTACTAACATTTTTTAAAATTTTATTTATACCCATTAAAAACTGCAAACTTCCCTCTTTTCAATGCAATTTTTATTTTTATAATAACTGAATACATTTAAAAATGACAGCTGATTAGTTTCAGCAACTTCCCATGGGACATTTTGTTGAAGATTCGAATCTCGGCTAAATTTATAATGTCGATATTTGAGGGTTTAAGTTCCGGCTAAAATCCGTAATGTGATATTTCGATGGATTTCTAGTTCAAATCTGTAATGCCGGTATTTACTGGCTCGAGTTTCGGGTTGAAATTCTGTAATGCCGGTATTTAAAGGTTCGAGCCTCGGCTAAGAATCTTTAATACAGACACTTCAGGGTTCGAATCTCTACTAGAAATCTATCGTATCAATAACCATGAATTGTTTTCTTGAATTTTTCTTAGCACATTCGTTTTAATGTTATTTTCACTTTTGCAAAACTCTTCCTTTACTATATATCAGGACTCAATAACTGGTAAGACATCATTTTATTTTTTAACTTTTACGATTCAACAGCAAGTTAAAAGACTCTTTTGCTTTAAAATTTTACGGCTTGTCATTTGAATATTTATAGCTACAAATAGCATTATTCAACAACAAATCAGAAGTTTTTTTCATTTTATTCTAGAAAATAAACAAAATTCATTGAACTCTAATTTTGGCAACCATTCAAACAATCCAAAAAATGTTATGCGAATACAAGTTTCTAGTTTTTAATCAACATAATAATTTTACCATCATTTTCTGTCAAAATATAAATAGAAAATGGCAGCTATTCAATATATTATCATTTATTTTTTCATTGAAATTTTAACTTTATCAAGTATGTAACAAATGTTTTTTAAAAAAGAACTTTAATCGTTCTATACATTTTTAACAAATATTGTACATCAATTCATTCACTTTATGGGCTTTTAAAATTCAAAAATATGAAAAAATCAATCATCATCAATCATTGTACAAATATGTAAATTAAGAAAGCAAGTTTATTCTTTCAAGGGATATAATCGTTAGTTATATGTGCTTTATCATTTACACAATAGAACTTAATATATGTAAACTTCACAAAAGATTTCAATATCTAGCAAATATTTATTTACATCTGTGCGGTACTGTAAGAAACAAGGAAACGCTATATTCAAAAATATATTTGAAAAACAAAAAAGTTTAAACTAAAAAATAATTTTTCAATTATATCATTATAATTCTTATTAGACTTACAGCTTGTTGAATTTTGCCTATTTTCCACAATAAATCTACATCTGATTTGCCATCGAAACTTCGAGCTGTAATATTTTTCTGATCCACAATGTTACTATTATTTTTATAAAAGTTACAGTTTATTTTTTATAATCAAAATCTTCTAATTTTTATATAATGCATAATGTATTTTAAACTTACCTTAAAAACAGCTGCTTGTGCAGAACCTAGTTCAATGAATGGAGGTTTGCCAGTTGCCATCTCAACTATGGTGCAACCCAAAGACCAAATGTCCGCCTAGAGACAAAGTTTGAATGACTGTTATTATAATAATGATATGGCAACCGGATCTCATGAAGATTTCGAAATTACAAACGCAAACTTACAGGCGCACCGTAGCCACGTTGACCTTTGTCAATAACTTCTGGTGCCATATACTGTAGTGTTCCGGTAAATGTTTCCGTACTCGGACATAGACCAGCCAAACGTTTCGACATGCCAAAATCAGAAATTTTCACAACTCCACTATACGTATTTACTAAAACATTGTCACCTAGAAATGAATAAGTGCATTTAAAATTTGTACGAAAATATATAAAATGAGGTGCTCTATATGCTGCAAGAGAAATGACGTGCCTTTTATATCTCTATGAACTATTTTTTGATCATGGAGGTATTTAAGACCTTCCAACATTTGTTTAGTATAATACGAAATTGTTGATTCATTTTCTTTTAAAGGACCCCACTTTGATCTCAGCAAAGCTGACAAGCTCCCTAAAACCATAAAAGCATGATAAGTAGATAGTAGTTGTCGTTTGTTTATAAATGTATTAAACTTTAATCTTTTTCTCACCTCCAGGCACTTGTTCCATAAAAATTTTGAAATATCCATCCTCACTTACGGAACCCAAATACTGAACGATATTCCTATGCCTCAACTGACTGTGTAGCTTAATTTCTTCGTGCAGAGGCTGCACATCTCCCAAATTCCGCTCACGTATTTCTTTTACAGCAATTCTAACTTGAGTATTTAAATCACGTGCTGCATATACTATACCATACGTGCCTTTACCGAGAATTATGCGCTTATTTTGATCATCCAATTCATACTCAAACTATAAAAATATGAAAATATGTTAAAGCATAAAATTTTTTTAAAATATAGCTAAGGTACACCGAAATATCAAAACGATAGTAAAAATTGGCAAAAACCTTCATGCGATCGTCAGTCATGTAGGCATCTAAATCTGTAACCATGCCTTCCTGATCTCTAGTCATTTCCAAGATCAGATCGTAAAATCGTTGCCTACATTGCACTGACGGCAAGTACATTTGAAAATCGTCCGAGTTTTGATGAACATACAAGAAAAGGCATCTCTCGTCTCTTTTGTACAGGCTAACGCTACGTATCATATTTGCGGTAAACAGCCAATCATGAACTTGCTTGCAGTTATTTTTCATGTTATCCAAACACAAATTCCATATTTGTATAGATTTCTCCTCCGCGCCTAGGTTCACGTTCACATAACTTGGCATCAAAATCTTTGTTGGTTCCAACACTAGAATCTAAAAGGGTAAAAACGTTGTAACACTGGGTGTCTCTACCATGAGATTAATTATATAGAAAGAGAAAGAGAGAGAGAGAGAGAGAGATAGAGAGAGAGAGAGAGAGTGGAAAGTTATATTTAAGAGTTTATCTTTAAGAGTGAATCCATAAACGCTGCATTAACAGCGGTTTTATATTATTCTTACTTTGACCCAAAATGTACAGTAGTAAGAGCTGGATTGGTAACACATAACTATAAGCCATACTCTCCCGAATTGGAAACTGGATCCTCAGTAGAACGATTCCATTTATTAACTTACTGGAAACCGTATACTGTCGCCAACCTCCGGCTTTGTAGCTTCGACAAAGTAGTCCATCCAAAAACTAAATATTTGCTCCTCTGGTGAAATTTCAGCTTCTTCGTTCCTTTTACGAAATCTGTCTATCAGTGATATATTGCCTATTGTCGATTTCAGATACCTGTCGATTAGAATAACTTCTATATATTTCATGGTTTTTTGTCGAATAAATAACCATCTTCTAATTTTATTTCTTGTGTACCTACCAATTTGGTGGTTTCAATTTAAACATATATTCAGCCGCTTGTATAGCCTTTGAATAATCTTCTGCCAGTACGCTGATTTCAAAGAATGTTGCCACATCCCAGTAATCTTTTAAACTCGATAAACTGCCTTTCTTGCCAATTAAATTGTTCAATACCATTCCTATGTGTTGCAATTCTTCACTCTTGGAAAATTCATTACCAGCTATGACCAATAAAGTAGCAAGATTTATACCAGCGTATTCGTTAGGTTGGACCTAAATATAACAATAATGTGTTATATCTATAACACATGCCATAATAATATTTCAAAACAATTAAAACTTAAATAAAATAAATAAAAACTTAAAACAAAAGTTAAATAAATAAAAATACAGCTTACGTCTATGAATACTGTACCTCAAAACCTTTCCTGTACCAGTGGATCGCGTTGTTTAAACTCTCCTGATCTGTATGCCTACTCTCTACAAATATGTCTTTGTATATTCTGCCACATAAACACAACATATCAGGAACATGATTCTCTTTCTTCTCCAATGCTTTCTCGATAACTTTTAACGCTCTTTCTCGATCACCCTCTTTATTTCGCCGATTCAGAGCAAATGCATATAAATATCTAATAGCCGGAGTATTTATATAATTCTTATGAGTTGGTATAGTTCTCAAATCATCAACCAATTGTACCATTGCGTCATAACCCTGAAATATTTTCAAATAAATGTAAATATATATATATATATATCAGTTTCTAATAATACACGATTATTGCCGGTCTGTCGTTATCTTACCTGTATTTCTCGGAATGAAATAAGAACATTCAGAACAACTTCTCCTGACAAAACATTTGGATCATCTAAACGTTTGCGCATATTATTTAAAGCTCTGGAGAGCTCCTCTCCAGAATACGTCTCACGCGCTTTGCGCAAATCTGCCAGGAATTTTTCCTTCATGTGCGCTCTGAAATTAAACTTCTCACGTTAACATCAACTAAATTATCTATGTCAAGAGTTATTCAATCTTTTCAATAGAATAAAATATATATGACAGTAACATTCAGTTATTACTTGTACAAGCAACTGTTATAAAAAGAAAATTTCTATATCTATTTACTTGGATTGTATTTCCACATCTTGAAACAGTTTTTTGAGTTTCAAAGTGAGATGCTGTTTGGGATCTATCGCTTCTTCGCCTGTGATTCTGCTAGCTGCTGGATTAGTAGCCACACATGAGCCACATTCCACGACACGGTACGAGACAAATGTATAGCTGCCACAAGATAACTAGAAAGATAGTCTATGTAAATACTTAAAAAAATCATATTACTGATTAAAATATAAATTACTTCTTTATTGATATCGACGAATCATGTAGAGAAAAGCATTTGTATTTCCTATGTAGCACATTTTATATTTTTTATCATCAAGTACACACAATGCACTAATTAATTATTCATTTAATCAGATTGCCATAATATATCACCATTCTCCACTCATTGTCTTATAATTATTTATATTTTATATTTTGCATTGATTTCTCTCAGCATGCATGTGTATGCAAATGTCACCCACTTTTTCATTTTCACATGTTACAAACTGTTTTAGAAACTACTTTAATACAACAATCATGACAGAATTAATAATTGGAAAATAATATCGGAAATAAGATCCGCGTGTATCGGTAACAAATCGTAAGGAGCGATTGCGCGTAGTTCCGTACGATCCGCTAGCACCAACAGTAACTGCTATATTAAGAGCATGAGCTCATGTTTTTCTACTCCATATACGGCGGAATTACATATTTGGTGCTTGCCTGATAGACACGGATACCGTTTTATCAAACCGCGCTGATCACGTTTTGGCGCTTGACACAGTCCAGTGCTGAGCGTCGTTCAGTGTGTAGTATACTTAAATTTATCAATAGCCATATTAAAAATGCAAAATTTGCACGAGATTTTTTAAGATAAACTACTCAAAAATTAAAATTAACGAATAGAATGTAACTGTGTAAATTGTCAACTAATAATTAAAAGTTCAAAATAACTCTTAAAACAGATTGAGCAATTGATTTACTCAAGGCAATGATGCCTAATAATAAATAGAGTTAGTGACAAATATTTATTCCTCTTAATGTTCTCGTTTTTCTTAATTACAGACTTCTATAAACTTTTAATGTATATAAAAAATCATTTACATGCTTGTTTATCAAATTTAATATATTTTTCACATCACACATAAAAAAAAAAAAGTTGTGCAGCAGGTACAGTTTTTCGTGTCAGGAAATTTTATCAAGCAATTATATGTAATTTCTTTTAACATTATTACAAATATATAAAACAAGTTTAAAACTACAACATTTAATGTGCTGCACAGTAATAGTATACAGTCATAGTAGTAGTATACAGTAGATAGTCATTTGCACTATGACCAATTTATTCATGAGACCTTTAATTGAAAGCATTGCTACAAAACACATTTCCCGAATCAGAAATAACTAAGGTAATTTGCTTACTATTACTATATTGAGAATTTAGTAATCGTGATATAAAGTAAATTTTGATTTATAATTTTGAAAAATATATGAAGAATATAATTTAGTACATACACATACCTTTAGTCTAATCGTAGCCTCTGTGTCCACATCATTATACAGCAAGATATTTTCCTTCATGCCAAAACTTTCCCTGACTCCAAGGTGATAAAATAATGCAGATTGTTGCAATTTGATACTTAAATCTACAACTGCTACATCAGCATTATAGAAAGTATCCAAGACATTAGTCTCGCCAAAATCAAGTTTCTCAAACTGTAAAAAGTACATACAATATTATAAAAAGAAACACAGAGTGTAAGTATACATTTCTTTTAAATTTCTTGTACGGCATGATATAAATATATTAAAGACATTGTTTGTATATATCACAATGTATAGTATATTAAATATATATTTAATTTTCCTAAGATAATATAACAAGTATGATTTAAAGCTAATTTAACATAAATAAACTATAGTAGATTTTATATCTCTACAATACTGTAAGTTAAGCATATTTGGAAACAATCTTTGATATTATTCAAATTATTGACTCATATAAAAGTATCAGTACCTGAATATGATGTATGTTAGCATTGACCAAATTGCAGGCTTGTCTAACCTCATCCAGCGCTCTCTTTCGCTGGGCAAGATGTTCTGGTTGTTGCAAATCCAATACACAAGCTACATCCATTCTCGGTCTTCCTGTCACGGTGGTGTGTCCTGATATGTCACTCTGTGTCCCAATACTGTCTGTACTGGAAATACCTTCCATGATACCTGATTGTGAAGCAGCTGCACACGATTGTTATTATACTGAGTATGTTTGCACAGCTGTTATATTACACATAATATGATAATAACAGAAGTTTATAACTACCAGCCATGTCACCCATATCGCCGCAAATAGAAGGCATGTTGCATAAAACTCCACTGTCAGACACCACTGGTGTTTCTCTTGAATTTCTATTTTCTAACACAGTCCGAAAACTCTGCTACTAAACTCGATATATACCTGTAAATAAAGTGACAGACGTGTATCCTAATTCACATACTATCCAAATGACATAGTAGATTCGCCTGCTTGAATACAAAAGCATATTGACAATGTCATTTTTTCACAAGGTACCGATTTCTCAAAATCACTATCTGCTTGCGTTTTCAACATACCAGCACTCATTGAGGAAATCATTGTGTCCGTTCTTACAAGACCGCACAAAAATAAAACAAGGTATAATAAAGATATAAAAGCAATAACATCTCATGGCACTGATGCACACAATGATCATGAAGCAACGCAAATCTCCTCGCATATCGTGTAACGACAACTGACAATTAATAAACACGGTGCGACGCAATAAACGTACGCAAAAAAATACCTCTTGTCGTGCACATTATAGAAACTACCATCCATTTCTTCTAGACTACACAAATCCGGAGTCGAGGTCGTATACCAAGTATCCTGGCTCGCGTGTAGCATTTCGTGCCGCTTCACAGATGGCAGCGAGATCAGTCGCGCTCAGCCGGTATAAAAATAGACTCCCTCAAGATAGAGCAAATCGCATCGAGACTCTGACCGCACGAACGCTTAACGTTAGCCGACGAGATGCGTGCTTGAATGGCATTGAGTCATTTACATAAGAATATTAAGGCGTATTAAAAAGACACGGCACGTATTGCCGTCTATACGCGACGTAATACTATTTCTTTCTTCTTAAAAAAATTTTGTTACGCATTGTGTGTTACACAGAATATCAGAGATAAAATCATAAAAATATAATTTTGCAGATATATTTCAGTTAGTTAATTCACAAGCAATTACTTGGCAAATATCTTAACTGATGCATGATTTATATGCATAATCCAAATTTACGACAGATAATAATTATCGCACATGTATAAGAGACCTTCGCACGCGCGTGCCTGATTTCTCTCATTCCTTTAAAGCCACCATCAATCATTTTATTAGCGCAATCGTCCGGGTTAATAGGAAGTCCTTGACATATACATTTATAGGCGCAGTCGAGAGAAGTGAAATATCCAACACACGCATCGAACGACGTTATTACTAATCCATGTCGCGGACTCGGTTATATTAAACTTTACAGTCGTAAAATGCATACGTTAATTTTCAAGGATATAACTTCCCCGGCTTTATACTTCCTTCGAGTTTCTTCGTACAACTAAATCTGATCATCATTGCAGTTTCCGTCTATTTCCACAAATAAAAGAGGAAAAATTCTCTGTCCCTTTCTCTATTTCCGACACGTTCTTCATCGACGACGAAAAAAAATCATAAAAGCCACGCAGGCAATTTGTAAATGTCTCTTAGCCAACGAAGTGGCTTTCGTGTTTTAGAAATGGCAGAGACAGCGACAGGATTTACATCTCGACGCAGAAAAATAAATTTCGAAGAAGACTAAGTGAAACAGAATAATTACGTAAGTACAGTTTCTCGAGTCAAATTTTGCTCTTTGTGTGAAAGTCTCCTTGGCGCGACGGAAGTCTCTTCAGCATCTGAGCGATTGCAAAATACTTTTGTCGATCGACTAGAGTCGACTCTCTACTGGGAGACCATGAATGTTTAGACAGTCACTGCAAGTCAGGAAAGGAGAGTAACAAGTTTGTGGGTCATTCGCATTCGTTCAGGCCGGGTGCTACAGCACGGAGCTTTGTGGAAACGTACCAATGAACTCCGCGTGAATAGGTTGTCAGAAGCGCGAAAGAGTCACGAGCATCTCAGATGCGTATGCCTACAGCAATCGTCTCCCGCGCGCGCGCGTGTGTATAATCGGATACATCGACGTTGTCCGGCGCGCATACGACCAGACCTCCAAGTGGCATTTATGAGACGTATCCTCTGGCTCGCACAATCGATACGTCAGCTATTCTACCTCATGAAACGACGACGAGAACGACCGCCGAGTCGCGCCAAGGTCGTCTCATTGCGAGTGCGATCGAACCGAACAAATTTGACGCATCCGTCTGTACAGCGCGTGTTTGGCTCACGCAGAATCTACCGAATACATAAATAAAAACACTCTTCTCTCGCATTCTCTCTCGCATTCGCATTTGCGTCGAGACGCATTTCCACCAATCGCTCAACACTGTAAAATAGACATTGTCGCGTATTGACGCTTCTATTGATATCAGGCAACTCTCTCGGCAGCTCGAAAAACGATAATAAATTCGAATCTCGAAGCACCATCGGGAGACCGCAGCTGAGAGTCAGAGAAGAGAATCATTCGGAGGAGACCACGTGGCGTTCAGTGGCGAAGCTGAGCGCGCGTCGCGTTCGTATGTACGCGGTTTGCGAGTGCGTGAAGAATAGTGGGGCGCAGTGATGCGCGGAGCGGCCACTCCGCAGCGCTCCCCTTTCAAGAGGAGTGCATAAGACGATTGGAGGCCAGCCGGGGGACGCCGTGGAGAGCCGCTGAGACGCGGGGAGATGATGCGAGTAACCTCCTCGTCGCGCTGCTATCCTACGCCAGGGGGTCCCCGAGAACTGGCCTGCCCCACGACCGACGTGAAACCACGTCATTGCGCACGTGGAGCAGCACCGCATGAGCCAGCCGACACGCTGCTCGAAACTACTGAGGTATCGCAGTCAATAGATAGCTCTGCGCTGAAAGTTCTCTTCGTCAAATATGAAGGACTGGAATGTCCAGGTTGTGTGTATCGGAAATTATAATATACAAATATATTAGCTTAACCTATTCAAAGCCTATTGTCCTATACTATCAATACGTATATCAATTGATTCGAGTATTCGAGGATGCGATCGCCTAATTCAGAGCTGGAGACGATCTGCGACATTTCGGGCGAAATTCAAACAAGAGGTGACACCCACCGTCCCCTTGCCACCGCTCCGCGCTCAGCGGCCGAGGCGACGATCGCGATGCATTCAGGTCCGTCGCTGTATAAGAAATCAGCTGGAGCGCACCCTCGCGTCGTATTATCATTAAAATTTTTTCCTCGTTTAATAATCACTTTAAAATATATATGTTATGTGTTTCATACATATATATATATATATAAATAAGCGAGGGTGCGCTTCAGCTGATTTCTTATACAGCGACGGACCTGAACGCACCGCGATCGTCACCTCGGCAGGGGGACATTCGCCCGAAATGTACAGATGGTCTCCAGCTCTGGCCTAATTGTTCGGAACAGTGTGTAAAGGCGAGAAACAGCTTGGTATTATAAACGAGAAGTATACACACATAAGACGGAAGTAAAGAAATATTTTTAACATCTTCAATCAATCGCGAAAATGACGACGCTCAATCATTTGTTGGGGATCTTCGTATACTCGCAGTATATTCGCGGTACATTATCTTATACATAAATAATTATTTTGCCGGGATTAATCCTAGTAATAGCGATAAATAATACGTCATTATTCACTATTTAGGTTTTCGTCGGTGGCGTTTGCTCGGAACGGTTCGTCGCTCGGCGGATACGAGCGAGGAGAAAAAGCAACAGAGAACGCAATTTCGGATCGGCGGAAGGTAGTCTATCTTAGGCGAGATACTCGCCTGATCCTCGGGGAGCCTCGCGGTGTAGAAACCGGTCAAGGAATGCGTGTAACGCGTGTACGTACACGTCACGCCCACTCGTCGTGCCTGTCACGTACGAGGCCCATATCGTCGCATACGTTGCCCATCACCTGTGCACGTACGTACATCGATATGTACATACGACGAGCGATTTTCACGTTTGCGACGTCGTCGGTTGCGCGACACGCGCGCGTGCGGAGACGTGTACGTGTCCTAGCGGTTCGCCAGGCGCGCTGTGTTCACCGACACCGACAGAAACCACAGTAGAGGAGCGATTCAGTCGGCAGCTGAGCGAGAGTTGCCAGGAAACTAGCAAGAGCGACAAGATCCACTTGAGGAATTTCGTGGTAAGAATAGCCAGCCGTTCGAGCCGCTGGAGCAGACGCCTGGAAGACAGCCATTGTGTGTCGACCAGCCATTTTTCTCGTTGTCTGGCGGTTACTCTGACGGTAAACTTCGAGAATAAATTCGAGAATAAAAAAGGCTTTCTCGGCGAATTGTGTTTCTTGGAGGTGCAACTAACTGCGGAAGTCGTGCTTTTTGGCTAATTTGAAGATGAGTTCGACAGGATGCTGACTTTGAGGCATCGAGATATCCTTCCTGACGATGTTAGTTTCGACGAAGCCGAGAAAGATGTTAGTTGTCGAGCTGCGTGGCAATAAACTAGAAACAAGAAATTTTGTCAATAAATTGTCGCGTAATGTTTATTGCATTTCGTTAAATATACACATCACGTCATGTGTGTGTTACATAGATATTATACTACTAAACACAAATCAGCGTATCTAACGTTAATGCATTGATTATTACTTATCATGTTGTTCGGTGCATTGTCTTATCAATCGCCTATAATCGTCGAAATGTTGAAAAACTTTTTTCACAAGTACTTCGAGCGCGTACGGAAAACATAGAGTTTTCAATTATGTAACTTTATGCTATCTGTTTATATGTATACATTCATTTAAAAGATTATTTTTTGCGAATAAAATATATCTCTAACAGAGATTTAAAAAAATGCAAACTCTATGAATTATTTTCCAAGAAGTATCTTTCTCGTGGCTCCGAAGTTTTGTCCAGCTTGAGTAGCTCCTTTGTTGGTGCCAGCTTGTAAACCGATAAGTCCTTCGCCAGCCCTTAGTTGCTCCTCCGTGAAGGCTCTTTTGTTCTCCTCCGCCGGTTTTGGTCCTAACCAAGGACCGCGCCATTCGGGATGCTTGTACGTCTGTAAATTACAGTTAACGTAAGAAATGTGTATATTTTTTATTTATAATTGTCCCCTATTCAACTGAAGAAATGTAATAGTTTCTTGCTATTGAGACATTCTTATCTCATGGGATGTACGCTATCTCTTTCCGAATGATATGCAAATTTTTGCATTCATCATCGATATCTATTCACAAAAGAGAAAGAGAGAAAAATTCTTCTTAAAGAAATTCTTGAATAAATTTGCACAAATAAAAATATGTCATCATTTGTACAAAAAATAATAAATAACTTATGACACTGATAAGTTACCGTTCGCCCGATGGCAAAGATGGTATTCGTCACTTGAGCGATGTTCTTACGTTCCATCAGGTCAACAGCTTGGAAGAGATCGACGTCGGGAACTCCGTACTTCATACATGCCTTTTGGAACCTGTATAAGTCCAAATATATTTATATTCTTTAGACTTGTATAAATTCATATAAAAAAAATTCATATGGAATTTGTTTTACTTTCATCCATATAACCGATTATTCGCCGATATTTTCATTAAGTGTAACGAGTGAACTCCAAAGTCAGTTCAAGACGTCTGCATGGTCTTGTATCACGTTTAATTTAGCATTAACGAAATATTTCGAACGAATGCGAAAAATTCCCTTTGGTGTTCCCGTAACGAAGAAGCTCGTCGAGACACGCTCTATTGAGAACGTTGGCGAGTCGGAGGAAACACAAAGGCGGGGGAGAAACAAAAGAGAAGCCGCTACGTCCAACTCCTTTATACGGCTGTTCGCCTGGGCGTTGCTTTAAGCTAGCGACGCGCTTCTATTGTTTGGCTGCTAATTATCGGACACGGTAATTAATGAGTCGCGCGATATACGTTATCTGAGAGTACAGGAAGGCGATGCTTTCTTCTTCATGTCGGAGAAATGACGTGTCGCGTGCGTCCGTTTAACAGGGTAGCAGAATCATCGGCCGATTGAAGAGAAAGAGAGGGAGAGAGGGAATGAGAAAGAGGGAAAAGGGGGAGACAGAGAGAGAGAGAGAGAGAGAGAGAAGGAGTATCACTATTAAGCATGTTTTTTGTGAGACGAAAGTGATGTTAAGTTATTTAATCGCTCGCAATGCATACTATTTAAAGTTACAGATATGAAGCGTGAAAAAACTTACATATTTACATTTGTCATTTTGATGCACTAAGAATTTTTACTATTGGAAATAAAATCAGAGAATTGTTCAACGTTTTGCCCTCTCCCCCTCCCCCAATTATCTGTTAAAGTATGTTTAGCTTTTCCATCCATGTTAATAATTCGCACAAAAAAATTTGTCGAAAAATCGAATTAGAATCGAGTTTTCATTTCGTTTTAAACGATAAACCCGGAATATAAGTATGAAATCGTGTGTTTTCGTGTGTAAGAAAGTGTTCGCTGTATGTGGATTATTAAGGTTTTTTTACGCACACGTGATTTTACCATCATTATGCTCCAGCCTGCTCAACCTGATGTGCTCCTAACGCTTGATGCGTCTTCCGCATCATATGAGCACCGAACAACATAATGGATTAATCGTATATATCACGTCAGAGAATGAGAATTAATCTTAAACTAAAAAAAGTAGAATGACATTCCTTATCTTTTATCAATATAAAATCTTCCCCTCGTTATTAACTTTAATATCCGAACTGTCCTATCTCGAGGAAGAGCACAAGTAGTCGCGTTGGAGCACTCTGTGCGCCGTCGTATCATCACGTGCTCTATTCTCCATATCGTTTGTCGGCTGTTACATTGCAACTTTAACGTTAAATCGCACATTTAATCGTCAGGACGAGCTGTCCCTGTCAAAGGGGAAAGCTCGTTTGACACTTATCACCCACGTGGCCGCTTCGAAGTCGAGAAATTTGACGCATTTGACGGTAAAGTCGTTTCTTGACAGAGAATGATTTATCGATATTTTTCACTTGAGATTCGCAGTACGTACAGTTCCATACACACTCTACCGTATCTCTAATCACACTCGCTCGGCGGAGGATGACAGCTTTCCTATCGATCAAGCACGCGAGAGCGTGCGACAATCGTCGCGGCCGGAACGCGAGGCAGGTCAGTGCTTACGAGCGTTCGTGCTATCAGAGACGCATGAAAGAGTCGCGGTGATAATAAGCAAGCGGACACCGGGTCTCTCCCTCTTTCTCTCTTCCGACGTATGATCTTAAACGCTGACGGAGACGCGCGAGAACGTATGGCGCAGAGAACGGAGGCGGCAAAGCGGCGGAGGCGGTGGCGGCGGCGGCGGCGACGACGACGACGGCGGCGGTGATATCACACCTTCACCGAGATCATGCTGCTCGCGTAGAAAGGGAGTAACGCGGAGTGGCCGCGCTGCGCATCGTTTGCCCCACTACCTCGCGAAAGCGCTCTTAAACATTCAAAACGCGCCAAATGCTGAAGAAGCGCGACATGCGCACGTGTAACTGGCAACGCGCGAGGATGCCGCCGCCGCCGCCGCCGCCGTCGGCGCGAAATAAGCGTGCGTCCTCCTCCAGGGAGGTGGTGGTGGTGGTCGGTCGCGCGACCAGCAGGGGTACAATCGCGCGGTGCATTACGCCGTCCGGTTCGTTCGCGCCCGCGACGCGGACACCATGTGCTCGTGTCGCCTCCTCGAGACGCGCGACGATTGGAAGATTGGAACTAGCAACGGCAAGAGGATATCGTCTCTCGATAAGATTGTTAACGAACGACGATTAGCAAACGGCTGACTGATATATGATGATATATAAAATGAGGTAATTTTTGAAGCTTTGGAAGAGAGAACGCGCTTGTGTCATTTTGCTTGAAGAAAGCAACTGCGTTTAATAAATGAAATCTTTCTTTTATGCATGGTTATAAAATCATGTTTTTTTTTTTTAACTTCATTTCCGATTTTTCTTGTTCTTTCGATATGAAGAATCGTGACACGAAAATGAAAACGGAGCAGTCAGTGAGAAATAAGAGTCTGATAGATTGATGCTTGCGATCGATTGCTGATTCTGGAAGGAAAACGCAGTTTGCTGTTGCTCGTCTTATCGAGAGTGCTTCTTTGCGTTGTTCTAAAACCACCTCCTAGCACATAAATATTTCATCAGGATTGTATCAATGTGCTGCAGGCATTCGACTGGAATATCCTATTTTCGGACTGCATCTCGTCATAGACAGATACGTCCCGCTTCTGACGATGTCACATCATGTACGTCTACACGCTGACAAATGACGATGACAAATGGGAAGCGTTTAAGAGACAGAAAAAATTCGACTTCTGAAGAAATGGGAATATTTCATTCGAACGTACGTCGACATAATTTTACACGATCGACAAGGATCATCTCTCGTCAGGCGAGCTCTCGAGACATTAAATTCTCTCGCCCCGAATCGATTAAACGATTCACTCACGTCATGCTGAACATTTACACACGTAATGCAGAACAATTTCTCCGAAGGAGCACAATTCCCATGATACTTCCTGCAAAATGCACGGAAAATCTTCACCGGCCGCATGCGTTTCGCGATATCTACGCCACGTAGCTACATATATATACATACATATATATATATATATTTCTCTGTTGCGTTTTCACTTTCATCGCGCTCCATCCAATGTATAGTCGACGGTCCCGACCTCAGACTCGGTCAGTTCTCGATTATTAGGCGAACACGCAGTGCCAGGAGGAATAGCGCGGGCGCGAAGAATATTTCGCGCCTATCGTAGCGCCGCGGGTATCGCGTGACTCTCGAAACTCTGTGCAGTCGAGAGGAGGGTCAACAATCTCTCGACTGCGGCGACGGTCGTTGATCGGTGTTGTCGATACTCCGCAGTCGAGAAATTGACGCAAAACACTGTCGATTGCGTAAAGTCGACGGTGGATTAGGGCAGCATGAGGCCGCAGAAGGCGCGAGGCGCCTGGTGGAAGAGCAACACGATAAGCGCACTGTCTCCTCACGAAACGGCTCTCGCGGTCTCGAGAATTCGCCTGCCCGCGTTAATCAGCCTAAGTGAAACGCGCTAATTGACCGACGAGACATTTCGCGGGCACTCGATAACTCTCACCGTCGGTAACTCTCACTGTCGTAATTATCGCGTCGCGATATTTATTCTCCTCCCCCCCCCCCCGGTGTGATTTCTAATGTCTCCCCCGAGTGTGTCTATAATATGCCAAATAAATAAATTTGCAACGCAACACTCACTGATTAAGGTTGTCCATCATCTTGTAATCCCCGCCGGACGTGTTGATCTTGGAGACCAAGCCAGGCTGCAGTTTGTTCATGAGCTTGCAGAGGAGCACGCCGTCCCTCAGAGCGTCCTCGTAACTCACGCCTGTGCGACACAAACGTGCGCTGGTTATTTTACCGTTAAAAATAAATGCAAAATATGCGCGAACCTCTTCTGCTGCCGCTGAAACATCATCAGCCTGGATCCAGTGAGCGTGGGATAAATTCAGCCGGCAAAGTGAAGCCGGCGAGTCAAAGAACGCCCGAGAGAACATTCGAGTCTCGTCTCAAGCGCGTTGTTACTCGAGACATCCGATAGACAACAACAGCCCGATCTCGCCGATTAATCGCGATGACTCGCACGACGACCCGCGTTACTCGAAAAAGCACCAGGAAGAGGAGCGTCGTCGGGACGTCGTCGCCTTCATCGCGCAATCGGCCGAGACAGACGAGAGCGCGTCCGCATATAGAGAAAGGCCCCCGCAGAAACGGAGCAAAATCGATAAGTGAAAAGAATGTTGATGATCGCCACGACACCAGGATCGCAGAAGCGTCGCGCAAGGCTGCCGCGGCCGTGCCGAAAAGCGCGTGAATTTCGCGCGGCGACTCGCGATGGCCGGGCGACCTTTGACCCCCGGGGCGCGCGACGAACGCAGGCACGCGAGCGAGCGAGCGAGCATCGCGACGAGACAACCGCGCCGCCGGCGGTTATCAGTATCGAGCTCTCCTCGCTGCCTCCCTCTCCAGCCATTTTTTCGCCGTTCGCTCGATACTCCCATCCGGCCTCCCACCAGCCTCTTCCCTCCGCCGCCCTCCATCCGTCTCCCTCGCGCTCTCCACGTGGTGTGACGCGGCGAACGGCCGCGAAATAATAACCGCGAGACCGGCTGTGCAACCAGCGCTCGCTCATGGCGCCCCATTATGCCAAGAGGCGAGCCAAGGGGGCATGGCATTTTTTGTCGCGTCGACCGAAGAATCAGGAAAGGCCGACTCGCGTCTTGCGAATGCACACTCGTTTTACTCTCGTTGATCGGCGCCGGTGCGACACCGCCACCGCGACTGTCATCTCCGTCGTCGTCGTCGTCGCTGCCGCCGCTACCACCACCATCACCACTATACCGCCATCGTCGCCGTCGCCGTTGCCAGCGTAACCACTACCACCACTACCGTCGCCGCCGCCGCCGCCGCCGCCGCCTCCTCGTCGTCGTCGTCGTCGTCGTCGTCGTTATCGACATCTTCCCCGTCGCCGGCGGTGGCTGTTCTTTCGCCGCGACGTGTGTCGACGGTCCATACGAAAGACACAACGCGTCTCGGGATCCTAGGGACGCAGGCAGCCGCAGGAGCTTTGTCGCGTCACGCTCGTCGCGTGCTGTCGTTACACTTTTTGTCGTTCCTCCCCCAGCCCTCCTCGCCAACCCCCACGTCAGCGATACAACCGGTGTATCGATGTATCCAATCTATCGGCGCGCGACGCCGCCGCAGTTGCCGCCCTCGCCGCGGCAAATTTGTATCGACGCGCGGCGTCCCGACGCAGCCCGAAGCAACAGTTGGCACACAACTCCCACGCGACTTCCCCCCGACAAACGTTCTGGGCGCGTGTGGTGCGTTAATCCGATGACGTTGATTATTCGATTATTACGCGCACGGCATGCGATCGGGTGGATTGGACTCGGTGGAGAGACGCGAAGATTGAGTTTCAGGATTGCGCCTCGCTGGGACCTCGTGAGGCTTCCTCGAGAGATTGCGACGCGATCGCTCCGTTGAAGTAACGCTGAAACTCGCTTCGGTGCGAGAATTTGGATAACAGGCTGACTGCGGCGATTGATATGAGAATGCAAGCGTAGCGCGGCATCGTTAACTTTGCGTTCATTACGCGTGCTGCGTGTGTGTGTCTTTCGTATGTAAGTTTTGATACTGCGTCGTCTGGAGTGGCTTCAGTTTCATCCAGTGTCGAGGACGGTTCGGTTGGCAAAATTGCACAACGATGTCGTGGAAAAGAAAACAAAGTTGAGATATGAGAAATCAATATTGGTTTTCGCTCTCAAACTACGATGTCCAGCTCCAAAACCGTAGCGTTTACCACGGCAAAAAATCTCCGCGATGATATCCGCGAGTACCGTTAATGTTAATTATTTATTTCCAACTTAACTTGGTGTAATTTTATAGGCACACGAAATGTTAAAAAAAAAATATATATATATATATATAAACACCAAAATTATTTCACGTGTTCAACGCTGAGGAACGCTGAAGAAACGGAGAATCTTTCGTCTTACACTCCGCGGTTTCGGTATCGTATCGATGATATCAAAAGCGCGCGATTTTCGGCGCAGGAGGACACGTGCCATCCGCCTAAAAGACTACTAGCCTGATCCTGCAAGGACGAGGCGTCACGTGGTTTTGAGCTGGTGGGGGTCGAGCTAAACGCCTACCCCAAAATCTGTTCGCCTAGTACGCGGCTGGTCGTACGCTTGAATTCTCGATTGACGAGCCATCGACAGGCGGGATTGGTTTTGGATGGCCCGCTGCAATTTCGATCGGCGAGCGCTTAAGTTTTCCTCCGTGCGCGACAGCAAGTCGCCGTCGCGATTGGAACCTGATTTACTCCGCGAGGCGACTTCCGCGCTTTAGAGGCGCGTGTATGATTTTTCTCAAAGTGTTTCCTAATTATAATCCATCTCGCTTGAATAAGCCCGCTCTCCTCTTCTTCTTTCCACCGTTCGTCGTAATAGCTAAGCGAACGTTTATCAAAGGAGCGAGAGACTTGTTGCTCGTTTTGCGACGCGGATAGTTTGGCTGGTATCAGGAACGTATTACGCGCCGCCGCGCCGTCGCGACGTTCGTTTCCGCTCGACGCGCGTCCTTGCTTTGCCCGACTTCCCATTTCGTCAGCCCACTTGAGTGTTTCTCGCATTCTTCGGAGGTTTCCTATCCCTGGGGACTCTCACAGTCTCCTCGCAGGCCAGGTGCTCATGAAACGAATGGTGGCTCTCGACGGTGAGGGCCGGAAGAATACCACGATAGAATTTGAAAGAATGTTTGACGCGATTATCAGGCGAATAGAACTTTAGGTAATTTTTGCCAGGCCTATCATGATCCTTGGAGCATCCGGCACGCTCTAATGTGCATAATGAGAGCGTCTATGAAAAAAATCGCGATATGACTGTCAAACGACGTCTCATTGTTTGCATATAATTCTACCGCTGTGTAGAGCGCAATAAAACTAAAAGCGAAAGTACACAAAGGGAGGCACATGCATATCGCATAATTATGACACGTTATAAAAAAAAAATATATATATATAAGGATTTCAATCTCTAATATTCTAAATATACACACACTCCAGATATGGATCTTCCAAAACTCTTTGGGAATTCAAATCTTAAATTAATCCACCCTCTCTCCACCTCGACCGGATGATTTTCCAACCAAGGCAAAAAGGGACCAAAAAATGTTCTAGCATTAGTTAAAAGTAATTATATTACCGATTACGTCAACATTTGCCGCGCTTCCAGGTGTCGGCGTTGGATTTCTCCCCGGGGAAAAAAAAAAAATCTCACGCTGTACGTCGCTTCCGCTTTACCGCAATATCCAGGCAGCATCCGCTGTATCCTCTTCGGATACAAACAAATACGCGCCGATGCGGACGGACGGACGGACAGGCGCGGGCTGTCCGGGATAAACAAGCGTGACATGCTGATAGGTTCCTGGTAGTGTCGAAACGCGGTGAGATGTCGTAAACCGGTGAAGATGACAGAAAATCAATAGCTCGCCTTCGAGGCGACACCGCGACGGCTTCGACGTTGTCTTCGGCCGTTTCTTTCGTCCGTCGGCGGACGGCAACGCGTGATGCTGGCCTGGTCTTTTTCAGACGCCCTGCGTCTTCCTGCAGTCTTCGACGAGAAAAAAAACCGAACGCAACAATATGTATCGACGGATCGGAACTATTCCCACGCGTGATACTATCCTGTTCCGTTGACACGTCACAGTCGTCATGTTTTGACGTGAATCGATAGCACGCTTCCGATGCTCGTCTCGTTGTCGGCCGCTATTGTTGCAATTCGATGTTTTTCGTGCGACCAATGACGCGTCTGCAGACGAGAGGCATCCGCACCGGACGGCGGGCGCGGCGGCGATACAATGCTCCCGCGTTAAAGACTTTGCACAAATGCGCGGAAGAGTGGAGTGGGGCGTGGATGTTAACGGGAGAATAATCAGCGCGATTTCTTCATTCTTCATTTGCCAAAGGCTTCATTTGCGGGCACAATCATCTCATCTCCAGTGATATTCTATCTGTGATATTAATCGCAGGTACATCACATCGAATAGTCAGGAACTCGCTATCCGTTGCTGTAATCACCGTACTAATGTCGACGCTCATTATCGACGAGACATGTCCTTGACTCTCAAGGAACATTTCGTAGAAAATCTCGTAACTACCACAGCGATCACTGTCGACAGCGTCGTGTCACAATGTCAATGTAACAATGAGATCGCGTCAAGTTTTGCAATTGCGTCTGGATTATTTTAACATCATTTGTCCAGCGCGTCTTGTAACAAGAACACACAAAGAGAAGATATTTTTTATCTTCTTTTTTTACATTTTTATTTATTATCTTTTTTAATGATTTTTAATGATCGCCTCCTAGCCCTCGAGTCTTCGCGTTACGCATCGCATCATCAGCAATGATCTCGCCAACAAATTTGGCAGATTACTCTGCGGACGAAGAGCAGAGGGCGCGACGATGACGCGCTTGCGTCACCGTCGTATCGATTAAATGTCAGACTCATGTCATAAAGACGTCACAGGCACGGTTTTCACCAGGACAACATCCTGCGCTTGAATTTACGATCTCCAACGTGGCAACAGGTCTCGCGGGAACGCGCACCGTTGTACGCAGAATCCGACGAGGGATTCCCGCTTCTCTCTTACGTTTTCTCTCACGAGCGAAGCGAACGAGCGAATATTTATCTTGTAAAAGGAAAATCTGAATGACACGTCTAAACGTGTCTCTACAGCTCATCTTGAAATGAATTTCGTCACGCACACGCACGTACGGCCCTCGCAGAAGATTAAATTACGACGGCTAATGTTATCGCAAATTA